TCCTTCCTACTTCTGTTTCTGTGATTCCGATGGTCTTAGAGACTTCATACTGTGTTTGTCCATTCGAGACTGGCTTTTTTGCTAGTGTCATGTCCTCAGGGTTCGTCCAGGTGAGTGGACTTGTCATTGTGATGCAGAGACTGGCCATTCCGTGAACTGGAGCTCACATTTTCACACCAGGGTTGGTCTTTGAAATGTCAGAGGTGGTGCTTAGCTTTCTGAAACCTGCAGGAAGGAGTAGGCTTTGAGGGGCTGCTCCGTCCCCAGGGGGCCACCTTCTCCTGGGCCTTGTTAGGAAGCTGAAGGAAAGTTGTCACTGCCCACCCAGGGCTTGGGTCTAGGGGCTACCCCTTGGTGGGACACTGACAAAGCCTCTTCCCATTCCCCACCCCACTTACCCCCCCTTAGGAAGGAGGGCTGTGTCCTGGAAGGCTCCACCCTCGGGCATCAACTCAATTCATGACAAGATCAGACCACGCCCTTCCACCGGCCATGGTGGCTCACCCCAGCTGTGTCACCCCCAGAAGAGAGTTGGTTCAGGGGCAGAGTAACAGGCCTAGTAGGATAGCATGTCCCCAAAATAGACAAGACAGTAAACTGAGTTAAGAAAAGCTCACTCGTTGCCCTAGCTAGTTTGGCTCAGTGGATAGAGCGTCAGCCTGCAGACCGAAGGGTCCCAGGTTCGATTCCAGTCAAGGGCACATGCCTGGGTTGCGGGCTTGATCCCCAGTAGGGGGCATGCAGGAGGCAGCCGATCAATGATTCTCTCTCATCATTGATGTTTCTATCTCTCTCTCTCTCTCCCTTCCTCTCTGAAATCAATAAAAATATTTTTTTTTTAAAAGCTCACTCGTCAAGCGTTTGGGGAGCACTCTGAATCAAGCCAAAGCTTCAAATAACTCCTCAATGAGTTAGCAAGTTGACTATGCGCGGATTTGACCATTTTGCTAAATGATCTTCCTGTACATCGGCTTTGGAATAATTAACTTTGCACAAGGAAGGCTGCCTCTGATTCTGGCCCAGCCCTGATCTAAGGAAGGAAGGGGGCTTCCTGTCTCCCAGTGGCTTTAACAAGGACAGAATTAGGTCAGCACTCACTCAACACCCTCCTCTCACCCCCTCCCAGACTCTGGGGGCAGGAGGGAGAGGGGCTGGACCTCAGGCATCTAATAAGGTGGAGGCCACCAGATGCCGGCAATGTATTGATTCAGTGGGTTCATTGCCAAAGACTCACAAGACCAATCTCCAACTCAAGGAGCTCAGTCAAATGCTGAGAAAAGAGACTAAACCTATGTAACGTGTGGTCATGATTTGTCCAAGGTGGCATGGGAGCAAAAAGGAAGCTCTACAAGCCCTACAAGATGGAGTAACAACCAAGTAGAGAAACAGACTTAGAAACAAACCCATAAACCACTATCAACTGTGGTCCTACAATGGAGGGAAGATAAGGAGAAGACATACTCAGGGACTCTATCCTGCCTTAGACTTGGAGAGCACGCAGAAATTTCCCTGCAAAGGACCCTCCAGCAGAGAGAATGGCAAATGCCACAGCATCCGGGGTGCTAGAGCAGCTTGGCTGTAAGGGGGCGGGGGGTGGGGGGAGATGGAGGTAGAAGGACCAGTTACAGGCTACTGCAACAGTCCAAGCTAGAAATAAGGACATGAACTAATATAGTGACAGTGAACGTGGATGGTGGAAAGGAGAACCGATTTATGATATAATTAGGAGATAGAGCCCTAACCGGTTTGGCTCAGTGGATAGAGCATCGGCCTGTGGACTGAAGGGTCCCAGGTTCAATTCCGGTCAAGGGCATGTACCTTGGTTGTGGGCACATCCCCAGTAGGAGGTGTGCAGGAGGCAGCTGATCGATGTTTCTCTCTCATCGATGTTTCTAACTCTCTATCCCTCTCCCTTCCTCTCTGTAAAAAATCAATAAAATATATTTTAAAAAAATAATAATAATTAGGAGATAGAAACAATAAAATAATTGTTAAAAGACGAATTCAGGACTCCTATTACAATCGTTCCAGCTGCCACAGCGACGATGTGTTAATCATAGCTAGACATTTGTCACATGTTGTTACATGTTGTTTTACTTCAAAGACAGGAAATATGTGGTCACCACAGTTTGGGTAGATGGCAGTAAAGTGTCTTCTAACTAAATGTGTTTATTTTGACAATTTCCTGGTGGAATTAAATGTCTTATTCAAACAGAGTCTTTGTTTGTTACAATAATTATTATTAAGGAATAATGTGCTTCTTTTTAAACCTTTAACCTGCAGAAGGGGCATCGTTTTTCTGAGTCACATAAAGGCTAGTGTCACCCGGCTGATTGGCTGAGGAACAGTCTGAGGTCACAGCCGTCAGGGGGCCTGGGCTGTGACAGGCTGGTGTTTTCAGCTTGGGGACACTGAGTCTGATACTGGAGATGGGGCAGGCAGAGAAGCCGAAAACACTCCTGTTTCCCATAAGATATTCATGCCAACCTTCCCACTGAAAACAACGAAAAGTCAAACAAAATAAAAACAGGTTTAAATCTTCTCAAAAGTATCCAAGAATAATAAGGCATAAGCGAGGGCATGTCACCATCTTGGAAAATGGGAACCTTTGCTTTGTAGCCTCCCTGGGAGAGGAGGACGGAAATCAAAAGCCGGGGAAGGTGTCAAAGCCTTCCCCTTCCCAGCCATCACAACCTCTTGGACCAAAGGAAATGGCTCAAAACCTAAACTTCAAATCAGCTGCAAGCACACAGGGATGTAAAATGCAGAATAGGGAATCCTATATAATAAAAGCCTGTGACTGAACGATGGAATGACCAGAACAACCGGTCAACCAGTCGCTATGATGTGCACTGACCACCAGGGGGCAGACGCTCAACGCAGGAGCTGGCCCCTGGTGGTCAGGGCGCTACCACAGTGGGAGGGCCGCTCGGCTAACAGGGATGAGCGCTGCTCCCACTGTGAACTCGGGGCTGACAGGCAGGAACCTGGGCTGCAATCATGGCCTCCTCACCCCAGGCTCCTCCTCCTTGCTCCCTGCCGCCTCCTCCAGACACCCGCAGGCCACACAGCCCCGCTGTCGCCAGGTTCACAGAGCTGACCCCAGAGGCTGGGAGGCGGGTTGGCGGCCGCTGCAGGACTGAGGCCTACTCTGCCACCTCTCAGTGCTACTGTCCCTGGGCCCAGTCCTGACCAGGTCCCCTGGAGAGGCAAGTGCTCCGGCTCCACGGAAGATGCCAGACCAGGGAGCAGCCGCTCAGAGGGCAGGTCCACAGCCATTTGGCTGACCGGAATGAGCAGCCGGGCAATCCCTGCTGGCCACGCACCCCCACCAGTGTACAAATCCTGTGCACTGGGCCTCTAGTATAGTCAACAATATTGTAATGACTGTGTATGTGTCAGGCAGGTACTAGATTTATGGGGAGGAGGATGGAATCCCTTTGTAAATTACATAAATGTCTAACCACCATGCTGTACACCTGAAATGAATATAATATTGTATGTCAACTATAATTGGATTTTTAAAAAATTTTTAATAAAGATTAATAAAGTTTATATTCTTTGATCTATACATTACTCTTCACTTTATCTGAAAAAAGAAAGAAAGAAACTTTGCTTTTAAAATAAATAAATAAATAAATCATCCTCAAACTTTTCCCCTTCCCTCACTAACATTTTGGCTTTTATAAATGTACTAGAGGCCCAGCGCACACAAAATCGTGTGCAAGTAGCTCGCTCCCACTTGCCTCAGCTCGCCGCCCCACCCACCGAGAGAGCCGCTGCTCGTTTGGTCACGACAGCCATGGGCCTTTTATATAAGAGATTACAGAGGGAATTTTCCAACGGCTAGAAGGATATCCTTGAACTTGTTATGGAAACTTTCTAACACATGGCAA